TGCTAATCAGTGTTGCCGAGATTAAAGCTCCTTCCCTCAGTATAGCAGAATGGACCAAATCTAGGCCTTGATATGGAAAATGAACAAAAAACTATGTTTCTAAAATTCACCATCAATAACGAACTTATTTTTCAATTTACTGCAGCCAAAATTTTCCTAGATGATATCTCAACTAAATGACTTCGATCCTGATCCATTCCCCGTGGTGTCTCTAGATGCTCTCCCACTATCGAGTCAAGTCAAAGAGCTGTCACAGGCTAAATTATCAGCTATGAATCCGAAACTTCACTTCATATTAGTGGCGATTCCCGCGGTTATATGTCATTCTTGAGTCTTCATATATAAAAATGCCTCAGGAAGTTTTATTAAACATCTCATTTGCATGTGACACTTTTATAATCGAACGATACCAATCCAGTCAATAAGTAGACCGAAATGAAGAAATTCAAAGATATGTTCAGAAAGTTATCTAAAAGTCGGAAAGCTAGCACTCGCAAGGGATGAGAAGCATAGCGTACTCACTCATGATCTGCTGCAAGTGTGTGACCTAATGCCTCCAGCTAGGGTGTATCTAGTAAAAGCAATGAGTTCAGGATCAATGTCGGAGACTTACAGAACTATTGATTTTGGGGGATTTATTTACCTCTACATATGTGAGGATATTGTCTCAGGTCTCATCTCTTGGCAGTGATAATATCTCTTTATAATGTTTGTCAGTGACATAATAAAATTATCCGTTGGCAGTACTCATGGCTTCTTTCTGGTAAGAGTGCTCTACGATTATGTTAGCATTAGAGTGATAATCAATAAATCACCTTTTAAGCTGTTAGAAAAGTTTTCAATATGACTTGTTGTCGAATATTACTTTTTTGACATCTACGTACTTAAACCATGATTTAAAGGCACTGGTTCATGACAAAATAACAACTCAGATATTTGATAGTAGAATTCAATTTTGATAAAACATAGGTCGATCGTGTCGTCAGAGGAATAGCGCACAAACTTTAATCAGTATTTATTTTCATCCATCAAGCCTGATATATACATGGAAAAAAGGTGCAATCTTACGAGTACATTTACTAGGGTGATCTTTAGATAAAATTTACCGTAGAATTTACTAGGACAGTGTTCGAGTAGATTTTTCAGATTATACTGGTAGACTGAACACTTTTCAACTGTCAGATGATCCGGTAGGCACTGTACTTTAATTTGTTTATGTGTGGCTGTAAAATGATCCTCGAAATAAACAGTTCCGTTGGCTTTTATCGTTGAGGCAAACCTTGTTGGTTTTTGCAGAAACACTTTTAGTTGAACGCTCTCAAATTAGTATACACGCTGGACCTCATTTGTGTATGATGTGTGGCTCACGACATGGTTTAAAAGTAAAGCCACCCAAAACCACAAGGAAGTCCTATACACAACTTTTCCTCCCTCATCTGTTCAAACGTTGGAAGAAGTCTACCTACTGAGTGTAAAAGGTCAGTTTACACAAATACAAATAAAACAAGAACTTGCACGAGAGTCACTTGCGTTTATGTTCTGACAGAGCTTTTATCCGTAACAGCTTTGAATTCTGAAGATTCAGGATCCAAACAAATCAGAAATAGTTCGAAGATATACCTAGAAAGCTGTCGACATATGAGATGTTTGGTTTAAGTCAGTTAATAATAGGTGGACGTGCTCAGTAAAACACACCTCATAACGATCTGTTGACGATTCGTGACCGGTCACCTTCAGCTAGCGTGTTTCAATTAAAAGTAAATAGGTCATTAATAAAGTCGAGGAATCGCCGGACAATTTTATTTTTTGGGACTGGCTTATCTCTGCACTTTCAATAACCAACGAATTTTCTTACTTAGCTTATGGAGACAATAATGAACATCGTCTACATGATTGCATAAACTATACGATGAAGAATTAAAAGTTTCGGTCAGTCAGTCAGCTACAACGTAGGATCAGGCACATATGTGCATGAATCCAATTTGCTATACCTCATTAGCACAACAAGATGAACACCGAATCCATATAAGTAGCTAGTTCAATGGTAGTAATATACAAACGATTGTGTATAAGGATATAGTACAGAAAGAAACAATTAGTCCGTAGAAAGAAAGATATGAAGCTATTTTAATCTCAAAGTATAAGGAAAGACAGAGTGTATACACCGATGCCATTGTGATCGATTCTGAGCCATGTCACCAAGAGTCTCCAACCATTGGTTACGATAGTCACGCGGACCCCAACGAAGTAATCTGCATCTACCAACATGGCTCAGACTAGAAGTTAGTGACTTCAAGCACTGATGCCGCATTTTGGTTTGGCCGCCCCTAACTTTCTTCCAACCATCCCCAACACCGGTTAGCATTGTACGTTGTGGTAAACGGTGTTCAGGCATACGTAACACGTGACCCAACCATCTCAGTCGATGAAGATTCACAACCTCATCAACTGGTTTACCATCATTCTCGAATACCCTGCGTCTAACCTCACTATTACTTACTTGGTGATTCCAGCAGATGCGAACAATATTTTTAGGGCATCTGTGGTCAAATACTAGTAGCTTACGAACACGTTCTACTCTTCATGGCCACATTTCGCCGCCAGAACGTAACAAACTGCTGCGCAGTATACTTGTCTCTTAATTGATAGTAGGATATTTCGCCTTCGCCATAGGTGACGTAAGTTGGCGAAAGCCAAACGAGCTTTTCGAATCCGTGCTGAGATTTCGTCCGATACCAACCCATTAGGGCTGATCAGACTTCCATGATAAGTGAAGTTGTCAACGCGTTCGACTACTTCACTCCCCATCCTTAATTCAGGTGTTGACACAGGCCAGTCCTGAAGCAAATACTTACATTTAGAGGGAGAGAAGCGTATTCCAAACATTTTGGCATTGCTGCTCAGTGCTACCAAAACGCTCTGCATTCTATCAGCGTCTTCACCAAACAGGACTATGTCATCCGCGTATTCTAAGTCGATAATGGACCTCCTGGTAGTAGATCAATGCCCGAAAATTCAGTCTATGAAAGCGTTATTTCCATCAGTAGATCTATGATGAAGTTAAACAAAAATGGAGAAAGTGGACAGCCTTGACGGACACCACTTAGGGTCGCGAAATCAGATGACAGTTCGCCATGAACTCTAGCTCGATTAATAGTGTTCGAGTAAAGAGCCTTCACAAGGTTTATGTACTTCTGAGGTACGCCTCTCAATGACAGACATTGCCACAGACCCACTCGGTCTACAGAATCACATACTGCTTTTAAGTCAAGAAAGACCACCGTTGTCGGACGCCGATAAGGATGCCTGTGTTCTAGGACCTGACGAATGGTGAATATGTAGTCGATGCAGCCACGACCAGGCTAGTCAGTACTGTGCGTCGTGGTATACTCGACCTCCAGTTGATGGATGGATAGGTGACGTGAGTCAGCAAAAGCTAAATGAGCTTTTTGAATCCGTGCAAAGATTTCGTCATATTATTTATTAGTACTGGGATAACTCTCTCAATCAGCTAACCTATTCTTGACATTCAATCAAGAGGGATAATAAGCTCGCCGTATTCACTTTCAAACCTTCATGGCACAAGTAATCATACTCCTTACTACCTTGCATTACCACTTTTCCATAAGTAGAGGAGCACCTCAGGATTTCATACTCAACCAATTACTTAACTTTTGTTAATGACCTAGTCATCCAAATCATGCTATATGCAAGTGATATTAGGATTTGGAAGGAAATATTATCGAGGCTTTATTAGGATATACAATTGTGCCATAAACATCTTCCTACTTAGCAGATCAGTAAGTATGAGTGGTAATCAACAGAGAATAATCCATAATATGATTTATTAGGAATTTCAGTATTAAATCCTCCATTATAGTCACGCCTTTGCATGTAAATCTTAATAGAATAAGTACGAAATTGAATTATAATAATAATAGTATCAGGTTGAAAACAGAATCAAACGTCCTTATAACTAAATAGGATTAAAATCGATATTCGTACTAGAATAAAAATAACACTGAAAATAGAATATCCAGGAATTGTATAAGAATGAAATAAGCATATGACCGCAGTATACAAATCCAATCTGCATTTTACTGGAATGAATACAAACTGCCGAGGGTCACTTATTCACAGATTAACATCGTGCTTAATACATTAAAATGTGGAACTTCCCACCAAAAGCGAAAGTAGCGGCTCCTGCTGGATCCTTCAAAGTAGGGTTGATATATACATTCATTGAATACAATAACACTGTGGTATGGCAGCTATCGGATAATTATGATAATTAGGAGTATTTGAATTATAGTATGAACTAAGAATCCCAGAAATAACGTAATCGGATCAAAAAGTACTAGATAACCACCAACAAGTACAAAGGAATCACTAGTTCATTCAAACACCACAACAATATAATGGGGTGAGCTTATAAACGTTGTGACTTTTTTCTCACACTTGATAACGTACAGTGACAAACCGCTGCTAAAATACTCACTATTATTTTACTCCGGTTTCGTCATACAATTTTATGTCGAAAAACAGAATGACAATCAGACTAAAATTAGGGAACTTAAACCTTGACAAAAACTAGGAGCCTACTAGGAAAATATAAAAAACAGAAGATAGTGGTCGTATAAAATCCTCGTCCTTTCTCGAATAAGTACGAAGGTTAAGAGAAGTGAAAAAGAAACAAATGGTTTTATGCTAACAAAACCAAGAGGAAACCCAAATCAATCGAATGAATGTCAGTATTGAAGATTGAATGAAGGCGAAAGGAAATACGTAGTGATAAAAAGTAGAACTATAGAGAATATGTGTAATAATGATTGATCTACAAACTCGTTATTTAATACTAACAAGAAAAAATTCCAAATGCTCAGTTGGATCGATAACGTAATTATGTAGTACTCAACTACACTACAAATAATTTTTACGTAAATATTCTCCAAACTGCTGAACACAAAATCTTTGCAAAGCTATATCCAAAACAGTTTAACTAGAAATACGTAGCTGTCTATTTTTATATTTCTAAAAACAAAAATAATACATTTAAAACTAGAACATGAACCAGTCCAGTCAATTAAAAACAATGGAAGCAATAAAAACGCACAAGTTGAACAATAATTAGTGACACAATAAAATGAGTTAATAGAAGACATTTTTGTAAAAAAAAATTACGGTTCCGTGATTGGTAGATAAAAGTTACTCCAAGGTCATATCACATCTAAGTGGTGAGCATTTACTTAAATACTAGTGGTCATTCCAAGCCTAGCAACTAAGCGCAAAATATAAGAATAGGCGAAACATGTGATTCCAAGAAAATTACTTGAATAAGCTGCATATAAACATGTAATGTGTTTGATGCATTAGCATCTCTGCAAGTGAATGTGTAATTCTTGGATGACGCAAATAATTAAAACAATCAATGAACTACCACGTGAGATAGATTAAAGAAAATATTAATTAGGCTGACATTCGTTTATGCATACGTAGAACAAAACATTAAACCATTTCATTCAGTTCAAATAATTGATCACATATGCTTTTCAAGTGAGCAAAGTTATAACTATCTACAATATTCCCTACGTTTGGTTTTATCTGTTCATGAAAGTAATGTTAAATTATGATATTAATGAACTCAAACTAAGTATTATATTCAGTTACAAATAAAGAAAAATCAAAATGCTTTGTATGAAGTCTATGTTAATTGCACCTAAGTAATAAAGAGAAGACAAGTTTTAGTTACAACGTGGTTTTGGAAACACAGGAATGTTATTTGAAGTATTAATTTTCGATTCATACTTTTCTACTTAAACTAATTCAGGTTTAAATAAAAAGAGAAAGATGTACAAAATATATGATGTATATTGAAAATGAATGTTGAATATCTCTTCTGAATAAGCACTGTCAATATATTTTTCATACATATGTTACAATTAGTGCTCAAAGTCGCTTTTGGCGAAAGACTGAGACATTCATTAACACTATCAAGCTATAAATTCTTCAGGAACTGTATTTATTTAGTAGTTACGCTTACGGAAAGTTTAGCTTTACAGGCATATATAATTAAAGCTCAGTTACTTTATAAACTGTACGATTCTACAATAGAAAACGAACTTTTGAGAAGTTCCATATTCTTTGGAGAAAACTTGGATCTCCGTGTCACGTCCTTGATTTTGAACAAATTTACCACAAAGTTTAGATGCTTCGATTTTTGTGTAGAGAATGTGAAGGACGCTCCATTTGAACAAAATTCTATTTTGTTAAGTATACAAGAGTATTTAATCTAACACATGGTAAATCTGGTGTACTTCATATGCAGTTGACTTACGATATAAGAAATCTAACATCTTCATAAGCAATGTCAAATATCCACAGAGATAAGAGAACTTATTAATTGTTTAAGAATGTTTATCATAAAGAATCAAAACACATATAAACTTTTGTAAAATATTTGACGCACTATATACTTCAACGATAAGAAACATGCTTTAAATGCGAGTGTTTTAATTAGTGAAGCGTTGCGTGGAGTTACAGCTAAAAGTATTATTCAATTCATACTTGCCAACCACACGGCATTATTCGGTCAAAAACAAACATCTTGATGAAAGAAAACCAGTAAATGAGCTTATATGGGGTTAAAATCGATAGTTTTTTTATGAAGTCGAATGATCGAATTACTTCATTTCTAAGGAACTAAAAATAATTCTCACCAGGATTCCATCAAACCATCACAAACATAAATAGGTTTATAGATGAATGAAACCAAAAAACAACGACTTCGAACGAATTGTTACTTTTTAACACCATACATTGAGAACGAAGATGAAGAAAAACAAATTATTGTCAAAAGAAAAATCCAAACTTTCCATGAAGCATTCTATTTGAACGCCATAAGTAAATTAAAAGGACTGGCACGAAGAATAACAAGAAGAAAAGAAAATTTCATTGTACACTTTAGTGCTTTTATACATATGGAAAAGAAGAAATAGAATTAGGTAAAACAAAACGATAATGAAAAACATGCTATTTATATTTACGTGAGTGTTTTATCATACTAAAAACAAATAATAAGATATTACAACACGATATGATAAAAATATGGATAAAAATTAAGAAACGAAAACATCCAGAGAGACATGAAATCCACGTAAGTGATCAAACTTGGAGTTCTTCAGTGAACAGATATTGTTAAGAGAGATGTATATAAATATCCTATGAAAATGTCCAGAGATATGAATTAACGTTTAATAAAGGAGAAGAAAGACACAATCCTCTAACTGCTTACAATTAAAATGTATATTTTAGAGAGATCGATTGAAAAAGAAGAAAATTTATATTGCACATAATAAACAATCCATCATACTAGTAAAAAGATTAAATTTTCTCACCGAATTCACGATATATGGTTAACTAAGTTGTGTGAAGAAGCAAGAACATTGAGCTCTAAATAATTACAATAAACGAGCACAAACTGTTTAAAACATATTATACAAGCGTATGCATAATGAGATGTAAAAAAAACATCTGATGATAGCCTAAATAGAAAAAACAGGTTGAAGGCTATATATATATATGTAACAGACGACTGGATAGACAATATGTTCAGGTCACACCATCACGTCTGAAACGCGTATTCCTCTGAAAAGCAAATAAATAAAAATATTTAGGCTTCAATTTTGAATTATGGTAGATAATGCAGATCTTTCACTCAAATTTATAACACATTAATTGCATCATACTGGCTTAATATTAACCTATGCACTTCAAATCACATCGCTTTACGAGTAATACCTAATAAATCGATGAAATTATTCAAAGAGTGTCTATAAATTTGACAATAATAACCTATTAAAAGCAGACGAAATTAGAAATACATAGTAGGAATATGTGGAAAATATCCATCGAAAAAAAACATGATATCACATATTAGCAATAAATAGTCTTAAAAAACCACCTGGTATTCAAAACATCATCATCTGACTACGATAAGAAATTAAGACAGGACAGTAAATTCTTCTAAAATTTAAGGCAATCCATGTAACGTGATTCCACCTTAATTAAGAAAACCACAGTACCAACAAAAATTCACCTTGGAAACTTAGTGACATCACGCATGGGCGGTGACCCTAGCTAGATGAATAATTTAATTACTCATTAAAACCCGCCTACATTTGTATCTTACTTTCTGTCTTACCTCAACATATAACAGCCATTGGATTGTTTGGTCTGTCCAAATTCAGATTGATGAAAATACATAACAAAGCAACTACAACGGAGACTTTCTAAACTGAACTTAACATATATTATTATCAGGTGCAATAAAATAGAAACATACTAATCTATTTTTAAGCTTATGTAAAAAATCGCTAGACCAGCTGCATTACCTGTTTGATTTACGAACATAAACCATTACCATTAGCGCCCAAATGCCGTGGTATGGCCGAGAATGGGGTGGACCCGCCCTCCCTCTCGAAATACTCTCACACAGTCACGCGTATACAGCCTCTGCCAGGGAAGTCCTACTCACTGCCTTCTCGTGGCGGGGTTGTTTACGAAAATGAGAGCACGAAAAGCGAATGTCCGGCGCTTCAACCGGAATTCAAACCAATGGTGCATATGGGCTCCAGTATCCTGAGGGAACAAATGGCGTGTGAACCAATCGCTGGTCACCGGCAACCATGGGTCTGCAACTTCTCACGATGTTCCACTGCCTTGTGGATCAGACCTTCAGGTCGAGGGCTCGGGGAGTGGCCTCCTAAGAAAACCACCTGCTTCGGTCTGGGCACCCGGGCAGTATCACAGCCCACACACAAATATAATGAAAATGATGATATTGACTGAGAACTCCATTATCGATTTAGTTTACAATCAAACGATCCTCACTATTATTATTATTACTTACCACGTCATTTATTCATTTTCTTTTATTTCCACTCTGTGTATCCTTATTTTTCGACTTATACAGCAGCTCAACTATGGTGTAAATCCGACTGTATCTAAACGTTCTCGAGTCACTGCCTGGTTGAAAACAGAATGCAACCACCGAATACGAAAACTGAAGCAGTTTTTCTGAAACCACATGCACCATTCAAACTGGCTGCCTTCAACGTTCGCACACTTATGCAGGTTGGACAACAGATAGGGCTGACTATGTCTTTGGAAAGCCTTAATATAAATGTTTGTTGTCTATCCGAGACCCGTATTCAAGACTCTGGTGAAGTACTACAAATTCGCTCTCTATCTGTCGCTTCAAAAAGCTTGTTTTACGTGCGCTTATCCGGGGACTCTGTGGCATCTTTATCTGGTCTTGCTCGCCTTGGTGTCGCTCCTTTCGGAGCACCTATCTGGACTCTGACCATGCCTTGGTCTGCGCCAATCTTATCTTACTTTTCAGTGGACAACGAAGTGACCGCCAACAACAGATTGATGTTAGCAAGCTGGTTGCAACTTCTGTTGCAAGTAAGTATCGAACCGGGCTTGTTTCTAGGCTAGCTACCATTCCACCAAAAAGTATAGATGAGCATTGGTCGCAATTGCATGACGCCATGAAAATGGCGTGCTAATGAGCTGGAAGCAGCAGCTGCATCTGGTAGCTGCCGGAAGCTCTTCCAACTCATCCGAGCCACTGGCAGCAAGAGGTCTGGTGTGAGTGAAACAATCCGCGAGGATGACGGGATGCCAATCACTAACATCCATCGACGTCTTGGACGAAGGGCAGAATTCTTCGAAGGGCAGTTCAACTGACCTGCTGCTTCGGCAACATCGGTCAGACTGTCCTGCCCTCCATGGCCGGTGACGACTGATCCACCAAATGAGGCGGAAGTCTGCAAGGAACTCCGATTCTTGAAGCGTTACAAATCACCTGGCCTAGATGACTTACCTTCGGCTCTTTTTAAAGATGGTGGTGACTTTCTGACTAAGGAATTGACGACGTTGTTTACAAAGGTTTGGAAACTAGAGAGTGTACCAACGTCATGGAATGAGTCGATAGTTGTCCCTATCTCTAAAAAGGGTTCACGTCGTTCCTGTAACAACTATCGAGGGATAAGTCTACTTCCGATTGCGTCCAAGCTATTGCCTTCCGTCATACTTCGTAGGTTGTTCAAAACTCGAGAAAGATTGACTCAAGAGGAGCAGGCTGGGTTTCGTTCTGGTCGAGGATGTATTGATCATATATTCACCCTCCGCCAAATGTTAGAACACCGTCATACTTATCAAAGGCCAACAATCGTAGTGTTTCTTGACATCAGGGCTGCCTTCTATTTGTTGGATAGGACTGTTCTCTGGGATTGTCTACTGAAGAAGGTTGTGTCTGAGAAATTTATTAACATCCTAAAAGACCTATATACAAACACCTCAGGCAGAGTGAGGGCATACAACCACCTCTCTCCATTGTTCCATTCGAGCAGTGGGATTAGACAGGGTTGCCCAATCTCACCATTCCTCTTCAACTTTGCCATCGACGACATTCTGGGAACAGCTCTGATGGATGTAAGTAATGGTGGCGTAGATCTGTTGCCCGGAGAAAGACTTCTCGACCTTGAGTATGCGGATGATATTTTCTTACTGTGCGATAATGCCCAAGCCATGCAATCCACACTTAATCAGTTGGCAATCAGTGTCCGTAGGTATGGTATGTGCTTTGCACCTTCGAAGTGCAAAGTACTCCTACAAGACTGGCAGGATTCCAATCCTGTACTCATCCTGGATGGTGAGCAGATAGAAGTAGTCGAGAAGTTCGTGTATCTGGGTAGCTGCATAAGTGCTGGTGGTAGTGTGAGTGATGAGATCAATGCACGTATAGTGAAAGCCAGAGCGGCTTATGCCAATCTGGGCCATCTTTGGCACCTTCGTGATGTCAGTCTGGCTGTAAAAGGTCGGATCTACAACGCGTCGGTGAGAGCAGTTTTGCTCTATGCTTGTGAAACCTGACCTCTCCGAGTTGAGGATGTTGGACGACTCTATGTGTTCGACCATCGTTGTCTCCGAAGGATTGCTGACATCCAGTGGCAACACTATGTTAGTAATGCAGAGGTCCGACATCGTGTGTTCGGGCACAGAGATGACAATGCAATTGGTGTCACCATCTTGAAACACCGACTTCGGTGGCTTGGACATGTTCTACGAATGTCGTCCCAGAGAACTCCACGTCGTGCATTATTTGCCGACGCTGGGACTGGTTAGAAAAAGCGGAGAGGTGTTCAGTGTATGACATGGTATCGTGGCATGAAAGAAAGCTGCAAAGGACTGGCTTGTGTTGGTCCTTCACGACTCCCTGGTTGGGGTCCGAGAGATGGTGCAACACAGTGGCTAGAGACGTTATCAGATATGGCTCAGAATAGAAGCCAGTGGCGATCCTGCTGTAACCTTCTTTTACTTCCTCCGTAAAAGGTGGTTGTGTCTCCCTAAACTGAAAGATTTCTGATTGTACCTTTCCGTTCCCTCATTAGTACTACACTACCTTACACCAATCTCTTCGTTATTGTTCTCTTTTTTTACGCTCCGTACCTTTTTTTCCTTGTCTTTAAATTCTCATTGTTTTGTGTGGCGCATATATATTTGGTGCCTTCTTGTACTAATATTTATGTGTAATAAATAAATAAATAAATAACCGAGGTATTTAATCCTTCCGTCGATTAACTAAACACAGGTATGAAAAAAGGTTACTAACTGAAATGTTATTTAGAAGATATTTATTGAGTCACTGTTCAACTGGGGTAGTGATTGATTTGACAGATTTTTTGCAGTTAGTTACAAATCAACCTTGACTTCAAAACCTTCATATCTGACCTGGATTTACGAAATATGACTAGATTAACAGATGTCGCTCCATCAGTAAGATATAACCATTACTACTAAAAATGGTTACGGGTTTCATTTTACAACTAATATATTATTGAGAAGTGACCGATGTCATATCCCTTTAGAACTTCAGTGTTGATTAAATTCTATTGATCAATTTATAATGTGGCCACAAATTTAAACGATTCGGCATGGTGTGCACTGTTAAAAAATTGGGGGTTTGGAAGTAAGAAACAGGTTACCCTGAACCTAATTTAATGTTAGTTGATTCACAGGTTCGAATCAATAAACCAGTGTCAAGAGCATGAATAATTTGGTTACATCATACTTTCCTATTTATCGATTAATAAAATCCTAACCCATAACACAAGTCTCGCTGAAATAAGCCAAATCGATGGAACAAACATATCTTTGTATTTAATGCTTTTATATTGTTGTGTTTTGTTACTGGAGCTCAGTACGGCCTACGATGTTACGGATTCAGGGATGAAAACAACTGAACTTCTCTAATACGATCAGTTCTCTTCTGAACTAACAACAGTCATTTATGCCTAACACATCAAACCTCGACGGCTAAGACAGGAAGGAGACGGAAATGCAGGCGACTTGATATTTTTGGTAGAACAAGTAACTCAAACGAAATCAGTAAAAAAGTTGTTACTATAGTAGCAGGATATGACAACATTCGACATGTAGTAATTTAGCGGACTAAAAAACATGACAACCAATCAGAGAGCAAAGGTTATGCGGAAAATCGAATTGGTAGAACGTATGCGAGCGGTTGTCATTCCAGAAGAGATCTTAACCCTTCTAATAAAATCTGACTATCCTTGCGACCACCTTAGCATATATGAGATATATATTTATATATAATATCTTGCAGCCCCCTGTCCGAATTCAACTGAACAACCACCAATCACAACCCCGATTCTAATTTGTTCGACTCTCGTCCACTACTTACTTTATGGCTTAGAGTCTCTAAGTTGGTCAATTCCACGTCCAACCAGCACTAATAACCTTGATTTAACAGCTAATTTTCTATTGATTCACGACTGTCTAGCTTATCTCACTGATCTCCCCTTGAGTCCAGAAGTCAGCAGCCAGCCTGAACTATCTTATACTCTAAACAGACGTTGTCTATATAAAGGCAGACCAGACCGTATCACACCATAAATATAAAATAATAATCATACATAATCAAGATGGAAAGCGGCTGTGAATAGGAGAGACTAAGCAAAACCTACAGGGAACAAAGTAGGTATAGTAAAACGTATGATAATATTTAATGAGCCAACCAAAAGCTTATGACAAAAGGAATATATGTGCACATATACAGTAATCTAGTTACTTAATAATTATAGAATAAGTATATATAGAATAATAATCCATTAGTTCTGGGAGCTATCATTTCTTCAGCCTTCATTCAGATGTTGTATACATATACATGGAATTAATCTTAACGACAATGACATTTACTGAGACGAAGGTAAACGCCTGTTTGACAAGTCGTGTATCCTGGGTTTCACTGCTACTTACAATAAAACAATACTTTAATGGGAGGATATCTTATTTTTACACTTGACGACTATATCTAACTATAAGATTATTTATTGTTTATTTGAACACATGGATATTCATACAAATGTGCACCAAAATAAATATGTGCTACAGCAATAAGAAAATGATCCAATGGAAACACGAAGTAGGGAGGGTGAGAATAACCGGAAACTAGTAAATGAATAAAAATAAATGAATGAGAGTAGTATACAGTGGGAGGAACAATTCAGTTAACAAAATTACAAGCAAAAAGAATCTTTCAGGTTAAATATGTTTCCATCACTTTTACGAAGAATTTACAAGAAAACTACAGCAGGATCGTCACTGGCTTCCATTAAGAACCACGTCTGATAAAATTTCAAGCATATGAGTTATACTATATCTCTAAGCCCACTCAGAGAGTCCATGGAGTAACCAATCCATAGGTTAGGAACAGAGCACTGGGTAAATACGGGAAATCGATTGATGAAATAGTAAATCTTCATCAACTGAGACATGAGTTACATATGCACAACCACCGCCTACCCCGGTGGGCGATGTTTTCTGGTGCAGGAGTAGGCTGAGAGAAAGCCAGGGGCGGCCAAACCAAAACATAGCACCAGTCCATGAAGTCACTGAACATTAGACTGAGCCATATTAATAGGTGCAGACAACCTACTTGGGGTCCATGCGATTATCATAATCAATGGTTGAAGACGTTGAATAATATGGCTTAAAATCGTTTGCAATGGAGCAGGTACATACGTTCTTCATCTACCTCCAAATTCAGAAATACTATAATTATTTTTATTCGTATTCCACCAATTTATATTTTCTTTTCGAATCGTATCTTCGATGTCAAATTTTTCCTATTACCACTGATACTGTTACTGTTTTTAATATTCTGGGATTTGACTTGACAATTTAGTCTCTCTGTGCTAATCGGAGCATGACAACTTTAACCAATGTACATACGTACCAGGTTCTACGTTGTGACTGACTGAAAGAGTCGTGAAGGACCAAAAAACTCGTCCCATAATTTTCTTTAATACCACGGTGCCATGTCATAGACTGACCATCTTTGCTTTGTTCAATCGGTCAAGACATCGGTAAATAAAACAGGACGGAATTTGCGATGATGACATTCCTGAAACATGTCCAAGCCACAGAAGCCAGTGTTTCAGGATAACAACGCCAATTAAATTATCATCGGACGCAAATCGCCAACATCCTTCAGAGACAATGATGGCCGGACATAGAGAGTCGCCGAATATCTTCAATGGTAAGGTAATCTAATTCTACTTAAACAGCTTATCCAGCACTGCCAGTAACATTAACGAAATGATTTAGAATCTACCTATAGTTCACAAATTAATCTACTTAGTGTCAAATTTTAAAAAATTTCCATCAAAACATGCTATTTCGCAGTGCAATATGCATAATGTGTCATGATAAAAATTAATTACTTTGCTTCTATCGGATCCTGGACCTGATAATCTTGCACCACTGCCATTGGACGACATACTTCCATGTTGTGGACTTGAACCGGTATAATAAGGAGCATTCGGAAGGGTAGATGATCTAAGGGTGGAAAGATCAATTGGGGGGAAGCTTTGTGGAGTTGAATGTCGCTGACTATGAATTGATGTAGAATAAGAGTGCTGGTGATTTGGACTAGATAAAAGGGAATTAGGAGATGGTTGAATTGAACTAGTATGATAAGGTGGATGAGGTTGGCCAGAACGAATGTCAAAATTTTGTTTTTGATAGAGATCTACTTCAAGTTCTTCAAGTCGTTGAGTAACAGCTAATTTCTGCTGAATAGCAAGGCGTAACAAAGTATTTGCAGTTCTTTTTTCGTCTTCAGCTACCTATATTTTCAAAATATTTTGAAAAAGTTAGCAAAAAATATAAATTACATGATTTGAAATTGACTACATGGACAATAGTCAACATATAAAAGACACTTATTTTACCCCCGAATGCCCTGGTATGGCCGAGAGTGGGGAGAGTCCGCTCTCCCTCTCGAAACGCTCTCACACGGCCACACGTATATAGCCTCTGCCAGGGAAGTCCTACTCATCGCCTTCTCGTGGCGGGGTTGTTTACGAAAATGAGAGCACGAAAAGCGAATGTCCGGCGCTTTAACCGGGTTGCTGGACATGGAGAGCCCACCTAGGGGAGTTGGAAAACCCTGATTCCAAACCAATGGTGCACATGAGCTCCAGTATCCTGAAGGAACAAATTGCGTGTGAACCAATCGTTAGTCACCAGCTATCATGGGGGACTGAATCTCCTTACGATGCTCCACTGCCTTGTGGATCAGACCTTCAGGTCGAAGGCTCCGGGTGTGGCTCCTTAAGAAAACCACCTGCTTCGGTTTGGGCACCCGGGCAGCACCACAGCCCTCACATATATCAAATGAGATCTGTGTGGCGCATATGTATTTGGCACCTCCTTGTACCAATATCTATGTGTTAAAATGAACTATCAAGCAACCCAAAATGATTTGAAAATGCTACAGCACAAGCTAATTTAATGAAGTGTTGTGAAAAGAAATTGAGGGGATTTAACAGTTTTACAGAAACAGACAATAAAAAGTCATGTTTATTTCCTGATATTCATTATCATCTAACATTTTTTAATATTTTCCTTTTATTAGATTTCACCAACTCCTTTTTTGATTGACCTATAATGTTGAGTAATAAATATAAATAGTAAAACTGAACAACTGCGATTCCATGTAGTTAATAATGTGCTTTAAATATCTAGTCACATTTGAGATGGTGGAGAAGATTTGTAGCTCAGGTGGATGATTTTGATGGAGTTTTGTTCTCTGAGCTGGATGGTTTGGTCGTGGAGCTTTCATCGTTCTTCTGAACGACATCATCAGCACAAACTTCAGATAGAAGTGAACAAAACTCCATCATTGGGTTGATTGTTATAAAATTTTCTACTCATTGGGATATTACAAATATATTATTTTTATTTAAAACTCCATCAAATATCTAGTCACATTTTCCGACTAGTAAATGGTGAAAAATTGTATGAAACAAAACTACGCAGTTGCTAAAGTGTATGCATGAAATACCCAAGATATGCATGTGCTGAAGATAACTGTAAAAGAATTTTTATCACTTACACTTAGTTTCCTTTGCATTTCATCTAATTGTGTCATGTATTCATCATAACGTTGGGAGAATACAGCGCGTAAAGAACCATAGATTGCAGCATCTTCTTTAAGTGTCTTCAACTCACTACGTAACTGTTGCATTGTTGAACTGACATTAATTTTCTCTTTTTCATATTTTTGTTTTAAATTTGCTAGAGCGGTTTCAGCTGTAGTTTTATTGGCTCGCAGCATATTACGCAATGTGTGTACTTGTTCACGTTTCGTCTCCAACAGACTTTTTAAACGCAAGTTTTGTTGTTGGGTCTCTTCAATATCTAAACTGCTACGTCCAGGGACCTATTTCATAACATTAGTAATAATAATATTATTGAGATTTACAAACTACAACTAACCAGAAATAAAGTACTGAATAATGTTATGCAAACCTAAACACCGTCTATCAAGACGCGCAGTGCTACGTAAACTAGGAATAAATCGCAAGGAAGCTAGGGCGGGAGTCAGAGCAAGGCATATAATCAATCCTAAGAGCTGTTAACTTCTGAATTGATCCACATCAGTAGGTATGGGCCTTCTGGTTGTGACCCAACTAATCATAATTTACGGTACGAAATGATAGGCGAGATGGGGTGAAACTTTCACAGTAAAATCTCTTTTTCTAAGCTTTTTATAGCTCCTTCTGAACTGTGTTTCTCATGTTTGAGCATCATTTTGTTAATTTCCTACCACACTGTGCTGATATGAGGTATGGAATATTTGGACTGATGATCTACATTCGTCAGAAATCCTGCGTTGACGGTACACAATTTTTTTCTTAATAATGACTAATGATTAATAATGAACTGTGTTAAAAACCTTCATTTTGGGAAAAGGATAATACAATTTGATATAAACGGTTGTAAAATTCAAACACAGTTATCATAAAATGGAATCTTATGAAGCCCAATTATTATTTCGAATCACAAAACATAATTGATCATACGATTTCATAAGCCAATCTACATGGAGGAAAATGTGAATAACATAACGAAATTACGGAATAAGAAACAAATCAGTTCTTTTTGTTTGTCATATATATATCATTACTTCAACATATTGTTATTTGTAAAGATGGATCTCAAAATATTTGTAAACTGTTTTAACATTTTGGATACGCTTTAGTGGTTAGTCTGGGCTACTCACAAGCATAGAATTCAGGATTTCTAGGTGTATGGTTTGACCAGAACAATAATTTTTGAAAATATTTATGTCTCAGACAATAATATAAAAAGACTATATTGTTTTTGACCTGATCCACGAAGTCAGACCCACACACACGCACTTCCTATGTGGTTGCTCAATCAGATATGCTATGGAGATGTAAATTGCTAGGAAGCTGTAATTGATAAAACTGGATAATTAAGCACACTAATCATTGGTACAAAAACTTGTTTCTCTGACCCAAACAAAGACATATAGATTAAGCTCTCTATTGGAACTATAATAGACTTCCCTCAATAGCGTGCCTCGTTTATAATTTCTCAAATACCATTTCACCTTAAGGCAATGTGTGAGTATGGTCACATGACATGCATAGACTCGTTCAGTCTGTCATCAGTTTCCAAATCCTATATACGACCGGTGTACTGAAAACCCTTGGATATATACGACAAGTGTTAACTAAGTATGGAATATGTTAAACTAGTTCGTATAATTTAAATTATACATGTTGCTTTGTTTTTAATACTTAAAAAAGCTACATAAATCTTGATTATAACACTGTTATTTGTACCTGATTTGAAATCTGAGAATACTTTTCATTGAATGTGCTAACTAGATGACGCAGTTGTGTGACAACGGTAAGATGCAAATCGGCTTCTTCGGATAACACTTCGAAATTAGATTCGGTAGTAGTAGTACTGGTTGTTTTTGCATTAGACGTGGGAGATTCTGTTGGTTTTATTCCACAATCTTGTCCCAGCTGTTCATCAATAGACTTATCTGTCCCAACTAGATCAGATGCGACTGAATTCTCCGACGAATCTTTCTCACTACGAAGAGGGATATTAAAACGATCCGCTACATAAGCGACCTATGAAGAAGTAAATAAAACCGAAACCTAAAAAGACATGTTTTTCAAAACAAACAAAAATTGCTTAAAAACGGAACAAAACTTTCTATGAAGAGTTACATTAGTAAACTACGTGAAATATAATCACCACTTAAAAGAAGTGAGAACAATGCAGCAAATCTGTTACTCTATTTGATTAGGCTTTTTACATGGCTAGAAAAAGAAATACCTGGCACATACTTTTAAGAGTACTGTACAGCTTTAATTATGCAAAAGTCGAATACAAAGCCGGCGCAAAAATAAATATTTAACTGAAATATTCAGAGAACTCAAATGCCCTGGTACGGCCGAGAGTGGGGAGAGTCCGCTCTCCCTCTCGAAACGCTCTCACACGGCCACACGTATATAGCCTCTGCCAGGGAAGTCCTACTCATCGCCTTCTCGTGGCGGGGTTGTTTACGAAAATGAGAGCACGAAAAGCGAATGTCCGGCGCTTTAGCCGGGTTGCTGGACATGGAGAGCCCACCTAGGGGAGTTGGAAAACCCTGATTCCAAACCAATGGTGCACATGAGCTCCAGTATCCTGAAGGAACAAATTGCGTGTGAACCAATCGTTAGTCACCAGCTATCATGGGGGACTGAATCTCCTTACGATGCTCCACTGCCTTGTGGATCAGACCTTCAGGTCGAAGGCTCCGGGTGTGGCCCCTTAAGAAAACCACCTGCTTCGGTTTGGGCACCCGGGCAGCACCACAGCCCTCACATATATCAAATGAGATCTGTGTGGCGCATATGTATTTGGCACCTCCTTGTACCAATATCTATGTATTAACATAAATAAATAAAAATTTAGAGAACAGAAAGAAACCAATTTAAAATCCAAATTCCACCTAGCAATGTTGGTTGATTACTAAAAGTGATAAAACAATAACCACATCCATAAAAGGCATCACCAATTTTCAAAACGTTCTGATATTGCCTTAAAATGTATCTCCTATTTTGAGCCTCTGTCTTAGTTCATATTACTGGTATACCAAGGTGTATATCAGCCCTATACAATGTGTGACCCTAATGTATCAATTAATGATAACCTGCTGGTTCATATATTTCGTACAGTACTCAAGCAACTGACGTCTACATTAATGTAGCGGACGAAAATCGAGGCTGGGTTGCTTTGCTGAGAAGCTTTTATTGTCGTTCAGGACAGCACCAGTGCCTACATTTAAACAAAACACATTGGTGGACCATGCACATAATAACTCCATTTTAGATTAATTCTTACGATAACGCGACACGGTGTAATTGCTTGTTTGGGATGGTTATTGTAAAGCAGTAGTGTTACCTATAAATATTTATCGGAACTGAATTGTAAACTAAAACATTACCGACAACACATCACCTTAACGGGCAAACCTAAAAGCACAGCCAGCATTGTGAACTACACAATTACTCACCAAATTTCAAAAAATTTGCAAACAACCCAAATATTTCCCAACAACTGCGATATGAGGATCAGATCTAACACATACTAGACATATCAACAAAACAAAACGATAGAAACGAAACCTAAAACGCTCACTTGTTTATGTGGTGATACTTTAATAACTGAGCACACAAAGCTATAAATCCCGATAAGAACAATAAGACATTGCTTATAAGTTTCCGTGACAGAACAGATCTTACTATAATTCGTACAAATAGTTTGTTCGTTATCAGATAGCTTCTGCTGTAGCGTTTTTATTTCCTCATTACGTTGTTCCAAAATACCTTGTAAGCGAACCAGTTCTTGTTTTAAGGATTCTTCTGAAGCTAGTTCAGGTCGAGAATCAATTTTTTCACGCTCATGATATCTCCAAAGATCATGTTGCATGCTGGCAATTTGACGCAAAGCTACGGAATAACGATTTTCATTTAGCCGTAGAGCTCTACGTAATCTTTTTAGGTCATTTTGTGTGTTTGTATTTGGATCTTCATTTTCATCTGCATGAGAAGTCATTGAAATGCAGGATTCCACCATCGCATTTTTACAGTTTGCAGTTGGTTGTGCTTCTAATTCCAATTCTTTGACTTCGAATTCAGAATCTGCTTCTGATTTGACGGACATAATTGCATCTAACTGAGCCAGTAACCCATTGATACGCTCCTGTTTATTTGAAACTTCACTTGTAGCCAACTCAAGAGATCGCTGGGTAATTTCGAGTGTTCTCGTAAGTTCATTTTTCTCAGCTTCTATATGAGCCAATTCTGCCTCATACTTGGCGATTTCTGTAGTTCTTAATTCAGTCAGCAGATCGTCTGGCGAAGGATGCTTAGAACCAGACTTATTTTCTTCTCGATTCTTCACATCACTTCCAGGAGGTTCATTAGTAGACACATTGGTATCTAGTAGGATAGAAGTTAAATTAATTTTATTGTAATTAACCATATAGATACATAGTGATTAAATATTGGTTGAAACATTGATGCTTCAGTATAAAACTTTGATATTTAGTTCGATTCATGTTATGGCTGCGAGCCGTGTTATTTAAAATTACAGGATATTTGCAGGTTACTAGAAGTTTCTCATGAATGCCTTCGAAGCACACTGTTTCCTGATACTGGGATGGGGTGGGAAAAATTGAGTTGGTCATTCTACATGGAGCCATGGTAAATAATAAAGCTATTTGGGACTGGTTTTCTTCAGCCTATTAAAGCGTTTTGGTTTGGATCCTACAAATCATAAAACTTATTGGCTTCAGATGTTATCAAATATAGCTCAGAGTAGGAACCAGTGGTGATTCCGAAGCCATTTTCTATCAAAACTTTTATCAAGGTGGAATGAACAACCTTATATGAACTGTACTACGTTGTATGAATTGTATCATGAGATACTATTCCTGTTAGTCTATTCATATATTGCACGATGCTTCCCTCTTTTGCAGCCCTGATGTAACGTATGTTAAAAAAGTTAAATAATCTAGGATCGAAGTCAGTCTCCCTATGCCAAGCAAACTGCTCACTTAAGTAGTCAAAAGTGAACAAAGCGCTGGGCATATAGAATGAAAAGAGATTAAGAGATATAGTCGGTATCTTTGAGTACATTCCACTGAGCATGACATGTAACAATCCAATCGCTCATTACCTGCTTAACAGTGAATGTCAGTATTTTCAAATAATAAGTAAGCAAGTAAATGTAAAATGTTGAGAATATCCCCATCAATTTCCATCAGTCTTGATCATTTATAACGATCTTAATTTCTATCAATTAGTTGCACATTGTAATCTATGGAATAATTCGTTTTTTATTGATTCTTATGGACCTCACTACGTTGGTTCGTTACTTAGTCCTTTTTCGTAGCTAGTATTGAGTAACTTATGTTAACATTTTCTCTAGAAACCAGTAAATATCAAGTTTTGCTTCGTCTTCTAGAATTTCCATCAGTTAACCAACAAACAATCAATCGTGTAGACGATTTTAATTATGACTTTATATTTATTGTTTATGTATCATTCCCGACTATGATGTAGACATTTCTATTAGTCATGTAAAATATATGAACCTGTTTCTCCAAATGACGAATACTATCATTTTTAAGTTCCAAGCAGTTGGAGAAAACCTATGAAACAATTGAGCGTATATTAGTTTGTTAGTGTCTATGTTAGTGGTGTGTTGAAAAATTAAAAGCGCCCTATCGAAAGAATAAAATCATGACTGTTAAACGTTTTCAAACTGATTTGAAAGCTATATCTAAGTATTAAATTATGCAGAAAAACAATAATAAAATCAACTCAGCAAAAAGATACGTTTGCACATTTAGCTTGGTCTAACATTTTGTTGGGGGTAACAGTGGAATTACCAATTGGTTTGACTGAAAGTGCGACGCAATGCCAACACTCGACTATGATATTAATAACCAGAGCCTTAGCTTTTAAGAAAATAATATTAAATGTACCCGATACTTGTATAAGTTTCTCCATAACTCTGTGGTAAGTTGATTTTGTTTATATAGATGATGTTTTAATAAATATCCCATTTACGAAAATTTGTCTCTATTATCCAGAAAAACGTAATGCTCTACTTGTAGTTGATATATACTGTGATACATCCATACAGTAGTTCAGAGCTGGTAAGCAGAGCCATGAAGATTATCTTGTTCTGAAGAAACTAGTTATAATGGTATACTTTACAGGACGAATTAATATTAAATAAATAGACAAAATTTCTGAATAGTACTTAAGTCAACAACAGAACGTTCGGATTAAGTAACAGGGTAAAATAATAATAAGCTACCGCAACTGAATTCTCAGGAATGCTTACCTAGTTTTTGACATTCAGTATTACTTTCCTGAAGTTGACTAAGCTTGCTAACATTTGCCAAATTGTTTAGGTTTCGCAATTCGCTGAGGTGGCTTATTGAATCCGATATAATTCTGCTGTCAAGTTCCTTGCGTAAATTATGACGTTGATCACGTTCAATCTGAAGTGATTCTAAAGCATCTTCCAAGGACTTTTCGGTCATCCGCTTTAAACGAGTTATTTCTTCCAGTTGGACATGTATAACATCATTTTCCTCTTGTAGTCGCTTTAATTCATGCCGTACGCTTTCAAATTCCACCTGAGATAACCAATATAGCACACTTCGAACTTACCTGACTAGTTTTTAAGGAAAGTATAGTCTTTTGTAACTCTAAATTTTCTGCCTCCAAGTCATCATATTCGTTTAAGATTTGAACTTCTTTTGCTTTAGCATCTCTAATATCAGATTTCAGGTTCCTAAACTGTTTCTCTAGATCTTCATGAGCCGACTGTTGTTCAATATTCCTTTTGTGCAACGTGTCATTCTCCGCCATTTGCCGCTCATACTTGAGTCTGAGCTCCTTTAATTCCACTTCTAAATCATGCACTTGATTCCTTAAGACACGTTCTCTGTTTGCCGACTCGGATACCAAGTCATCCTCCTCCTGGAAGCCAGCGATACTTAGTCTACGTTGAATAAGGTTTTGTTCCTCTAAACTCTGAAGTTGAGAGTGTGTCAATAATTTAAAGGACATTACCTTGCGAGTAATTTTTAGTTCTCGATCTAATTCTTCATACTTTCCGCCCAATTCATCAAGCTGATTTTTGAGTTGTTGATTTGTTTCCAAAAGGGTAAGACCATATTCAGCTGCTTCATACTTCTCCTGCATAGACACTTTTAGTGCAGACTTTAACTGTCGATTCTCTTCTTCCAAACTCCTCCCATCATCCGCCATCCCCAGCGAAAATGTTGCGCAACAGACTAAAGCGGCGCTCCCAAAACCTAATTTTGGTTTCAGTCTTCAGTCTTCAGTAATAAGGATAGGAGGTCTGTCGACCTATAATAATCCTTGCAGTTTGTAATACTGTGGAGGTCCAATCTCGTTTTGAATATATTAACAGACGGTGCTGATATTACGTGTTCCGGTAGGGAATTCCAGTAATTCACTACTCGGTGCGAGAAACGGAACTCCAGACGTAAACGGTTTGATCTCGGTTTTTGAACTTTCTTCGAATGTCCTCTCAAATGATCGGTTCTAGACGGAAGCAAAAGATAAGACATGTTAATACCAAGGTCATCGTTCAGTATACGATAAGCCAATATTAGATCACCCCGTACTCTACGGTAAGATAACGGAAATAAGTTAAGGTGTCTCAGTCTGTCTTCATAAGATAGGCCAGCTAGACCTTGTACCATCTTAGTAGCTCGTCGTTGGACTCTTTCTAGCATATCTGCTTCATATTTGAAACAAGGACTCGCTGCTTGAATCCCGTATTCTAAATGTGGTCGCACATAAATCGGGTGTATTAATCCAAACATTTCATCATCTAAATACTGAAAAGACCTACGAATTGACCATAATACCCTATAGCCTTTTGCAGCAGCAGCCTTACAGTGACTAGTCGTTTTGAGATCATTGCTTAATATAACTCCTAAGTCTTTATAGTTTCTTGCTTTGGGTAGCACGAATCCACGTAGTGTATAGTCATACGATTCATCAGAGTTATTTAACTGCATCACTACACTCTTATTAGGATTTACTTCTAGTGACCACCTGTCTAACCATGCCACCAATGAGCTAAGATCGTCCTGTAATACTATTCTATCCGACATACTATGTATGGGTCTCCAAATCTTTATGTCATCAGCGAAGAGTAGAACGGAAGATTTTGCTACAGTCGGCCATTCATTTACATAAAGTAAAAAGAGAAGAGGACCTAGGATTGTGCCTTGGGGAACCCCACCTTTTACAGGTACCCACGAGGAGAGAGCCTCATTAACCCTTACCCTTTGTCTCCTGTCATGGAGAAAGTTACTTATCCAATCGACGACTATGTTATGGATTCCAAAACGTTTCAGTTTGAATTTAAGACCAGAGTGTGAAACCTTATCAAAGGCTTTACTTAGATCTATGAAAATTACATCCACAGGAGCATTCCGATCCTTTGCCGCAGCCCACTCTTTTCGTGCAATGAGAAGATTTATCAAGCAGGATAGGCCTTTCCGAAAACCATGTTGTGCCCTGGAGAAAAGATTTTGCCCTTCAACATAGTTTATAACAGCTATCCGAATGATTTTCTCCATCAGTTTCACAACTGCACTAGTTAAGCTAACGGGTCTATAGTTACTAACTAAATCCCTACTCCCAGCCTTATACACCGGACTTATTATGGCGTCTTTCCAGTCTCTAGGAAGTCTGGACTGTCTCAGAGACATGTCGAATAGTATCGCTAATGGTTCAGCAATTTCACCTGATATGGCTTTCATAATCCTAGGATGAATATCATCGGGACCACTGGACTTATCAGGTTTGAGATGCTGAAGTAGCCTTAAAAACAGTACCTTTCTCAATGACTATAGGATCCATCAGCGAGCCGTCACGGTCACAATGAATCATTGGTCGTTCCTCATTACCGATAGAAAACACTTTACTAAAATATTCCGATAAAGCTTCAGCTTTTTCGGCATCATTCTCTGCTAAGATTAACGGATTGTCTCGTATCAAAAGTGATGGAATTCCACCGCTTCTCTTAGTTCGCCTTTTTATATACGAGAATAACCGTTTCGGACTATATCTAGAATCCCTAACCAATTGTTTTTCGTATGAATGTCTAGTCTTGCTTATTAACGCTTTACAGGCATTCCTAATCTTACAATAACTGGATCTGTATTGTTCTAAGCTAGTAGAGATGAACATATTCCAGTGATTCTTCCTTTTTCTAAAGAGTTTCCTGACCGTTTTAGTTATCCATGGTGGACTATTATTCGGTCTTCGCGGTACCAGGTATGGTATGAACGGGGACGTAACTAGTCTAAATTTACCTTTAGATACAGACCATGCTTCTTCAACTGATATGCTAGTATCTACTAACCAATCTGTCTTGGCAGCGCATTCCTGAATGGCTGATATGTTAGCTTTCCATACATTTGGGCGCGGTGTAACCTGATCGTATAACATGTCCCTAGTTCTAAACGCGAATGACAAAACAGCGTGATCGCTGTTTACTAACGGTGGAAGAATATTTAAGTCGACGATATCCTCAGTCTCATGAGTGATTACCAAATCCAGCAGAGAAGAACCCTGGTTAACACCAAAACGTGTGGGTTGGGATACATGCTGCACTAGTGCATGCTCCATTATTGTTATCAGTAACCTACTATCAAAGGAGTTTATAGATCCTTCTGTGGTCATATCAGTCCAACTAATATTAGGTGCGTTAAAGTCTCCTATTATTAAGCACCTGGTATTATCACTCCAAAGATGAATGTGCTCTAAAATAAAGTCATCAGCTAAGCAGATTGGGCTCCGATAGATGACACCTAGCATAAATGTACTACATCCTATAGCCAACTTACAGCTAATGACTTCACAAGTGCCGCTATCATTGGATTCGCTAGTAAAGGAGTGGATATTTATGCCATTGGCTATATATAACAGGACGCCGCCTCCTTTTCTACATCTATGTCTATCACTCCTGATGCAATGGTATCCGGATAATTCTGAAGTAATGTCTAAGTCATGGACTAACCAAGTTTCTGTCACTGCTATTATGAGTGGCTTTAACCTGTCTACTAGTGCTTGTAGTTCATAGAACTTATTTCGTAAACTACGAGTGTTGGCATATAAAACTCCTAAGTAGAACAGCCTATCCACACAGGCCTTGGTAGCATTCGCTGGGACTATTTGGAACGGTGACTGTTTTATCCAGATCTTCGGTTCCCATTAAGGGTGCATTATTAACAATGTCAGTACCAGGTGGTACTCAGTTTTTAAAGGGCGGGATATGAGTAACCTGTGTTGGTCCTGTCAATGGTGGTCTCTCAGTTCATCCAACTTTCTTTAGAAAGCGTCAACAGATTGGGCTTCAATCATATGTTGAGGTAATAATGATTCGATGCGAAAGTCGAAGGTCAGCTAACAAGTGATTTGTTCTGGACTTGTGAAATTTTATGGAATGTCAACGTAATGTCTCTGTTTTGGAAGACTAGAAAAATGAGGGCGTATCATATTCAATTTGTCACCGAGTAATTTAAAAACTGTGACCATATCACCTCTGGTTCTTCTATATGACAATGGAAATTAGTTTAGTTTAGCCAGTCAAATATCATACGGGAATTTTGCTATTCCGGGAGTCAGCTTAGTTGCAGTTCTATAAAAATTTTCCATCAGCTCACTGTCTCTCTTTGGCAAGAACTAGCCTCTCTCTCTGCAGTACTCAAATTTAGGACGAACAATACCGCACACAAAGTCAAAAAGGTCTTATCATCGACATAGTTAAGCCCTGTAGCGGTAAATAAATCCTCAAAGTCAATAAATCTGTAAGTTTTTGACATTCGATGTTGGCCACATTGGTTTTAATGGACTCATCTAGCTAAAGGCGCTCGGTCACGCATCTGCACAAGATCACGAGTTGGAACGCCGTACTCCACTTCTCCTGTAACCGCTAGACAGCTTAGATCAGTCACTTCTCGATATACTGATAAAATATCAAATATATCTTTGAATCTCCTCGCTTCTGACTCTGGATTTCACTGGGTGGACATGATTTAATTATAGAAGGTGTTACTAGTCAAAGTGTTGTTAAACTAAAAATATGTAGTGTTAGTCATTAGTTTTAGCCCATAATATATCTTATTCTAGTTTCCGGACATTCCATTCTATTCATTCTACTTGAGTCATGTTTTGACCTTGTTAATTATCCGCTTATTAGCCTTGACTGTTTTCATATGAGCGTATATGTGTGTACACTTCATGTCCCATGACTCATCACATGTCTGTAGTTTATTTTGTCTGCCTATAAATATTGAGTAATGCCCGGCTTGAAATGGAGTTGGCTTCCCAGCCATCTTCCATACGTGTCATTTTTGCTTTGCTCTTTTTCATTTGCTTCATATACAAAATATATGTATTCTCAAGTCAATTCTCGTTATTCGACTTATTTAATTTCGCTATTGGATAACGCGATTTAATTCGACGATGATATACGAGAAAAGGCGATGACAAAACATTCATACGCTCTAAATAGGAGTCAGATTCACGGGCCACTAAAAATACTTGTGGATCTGTAGTGGCATTGGACAATAGCCACACAATCCACAAAGCTGTGAACACGAGACTACTCAGAAAATAAATATTCAATATTTAACGCCGAGAAATACCTAAGAATGAAGAAGGCGCGAACAATGAATTGAATGGACTGGAGTTGATCGAGTGGCATGGCTCGGCCATGCAGGCGTGGTCTCTATTCATATTAAATATATTGTTCCTTCTCTAAACTAACCTTGTTCTTCATCATGTATTGGTAATTGATACGATACAGTGAGTTGGCGTAGTCGATGGTGTGACTTCCACGTAAGATCTTATAGATTAGGCAGTTATATCATGACGAATCTACAAATTTAGGATTAGGTCTATTATTAGAGCAGTACTAATATCGTAGTAGATCATAATTCTACATTGGTAAGCCCGACTAGAAAAACGCAACCTATTATTAATCCTTATTTCCACTTCAACTTTCTCGATCGATTTTATATTTATGTTAACCCTGTATTCCAATAGTCCTCTGATTAATGCTCACATGCATTATCGTAATGTTATATTGATTAGTCCTCATGACAAACTAGCTCAATCGATAATAAAAACTGGTCGTCTATATTAACTAATTAGCTTTGATGATTTGTTAACAAGCTGTAATAGCATTTACATGCTTCAGCGACATAGTCTTGTTTAAACATCAAGCTCTAGCAAATATGACCTGTAAATATACATTGACTAACAATGCGATCAAGGACTAAATAGTTATCTGGATCTAATTC